CTTCAACAGCGTGGATATCTTGTGGCTATGACTGGAGATGGTGTCAATGATGCCCCATCACTAAAGAAAGCCGATACTGGTATCGCTGTGGAAGGTGCTTCAGATGCCGCTCGTTCAGCAGCTGATATCGTCTTCTTGGCTCCGGGACTTGGTGCCATCATTGACGCTCTTAAGACTTCTCGACAAATTTTCCATCGCATGTACGCCTACGTTGTCTATCGTATCGCTTTGTCAATACATCTTGAGATTTTCCTTGGTCTCTGGATCGCCATCTTGAATAGATCTCTCAACATTGAATTGGTCGTCTTCATCGCCATTTTTGCAGATGTTGCAACTCTTGCTATTGCTTATGATAATGCACCATTCTCCAAAACTCCGGTCAAGTGGAACCTCCCCAAATTGTGGGGTATGTCCGTTCTCCTTGGATTTGTTCTCGCCGTCGGTACCTGGATTACTCTCACCACCATGATTGCGCGAGGTGAAGATGGTGGTATTGTTCAAAACTTTGGTGTTCTTGATGAGGTTGTCTTCCTTGAGATCTCTCTGACTGAGAATTGGTTGATTTTCATCACACGTGCCAATGGTCCTTTCTGGTCATCACTCCCATCGTGGCAATTGACTGGTGCTATTCTCGTTGTTGATATCATTGCAACATTTTTTACCTTGTTCGGTTGGTTCGTTGGAGGTCAAACTTCGATTGTTGCCGTCGTTCGTATTTGGGTTTTCTCTTTTGGAGTTTTCTGTATCATGGGTGGAGTCTATTATCTACTTCAAGATAGTTCTGGCTTTGATAACCTCATGCATGGTAAATCACCAAAGAAGACTCAAAAACAAAGATCTCTGGAAGATTTTGGTAAGTGGATCACCCCGAGTCTTATGTCATTTTACGAACAAAGCGCTAACTTATACTTCTTTAGTCGTCTCACTTCAGCGTGTCTCCACACAACACGAAAAGTCGGCTTAAAACTTAATTTACAGGCACACATGATTACAGAATGTGCAGCTTTTACGAATATTCCCTTGTGTTATTAATTAGGTAGTTCGTGTGTATAAAACTTCAGACGGGCTCATGGGTGTCAAAACTGCTTGCTATTTTCGCGCTAAAAAGTTCAAATTGCTTACTTGCTGGGAAATAGAATTCGTGCGTTGTTTCTTAAATGAAGGATCAATAACGATAAACTTTTGGCACAAGAAGATTGAAGCAGATTTGAGCGTTTTTAGTCATTTTTTATTTAGATGATAATAGCGTCATCCTAGAGTCTTTAAAGTCTTTAATAATTACAAATAAATTTTCTGGTGTATGATTTTTGGGCCTGTGAATAATGAGTGAGTGAGTGAGTAGTGAGTGAGCAAGCGAGTGAGACTTGAGAGATTGAATAGATGAGTGGCATTGGAATCTATTAATCGTTCAACAGTCCTGATGGCATGGAGGGCGGAGATTGGAGAAGTAGCTTCTCCATTCCCTCTGCTTTCCACATTGACACTTGTATTAGAATCTCACTACATCACAAAACCCAGCGGGATGAATGAACCAGAAGAAAGAGACGTGTATCAAAAAAAAAAAACAACTATTAATACTCCATGCATATATATATATATAAAAAGACAACTCTAGGGAATCTCGCACCCCCCCACCCCGCCTCCTCAAAATCAGAAAGAGTTCTGTATACACTCACATCCTCACCCTCCGGCAAAGATAGACGATTGATTCTTTTCCATCATCGCACCCTCAACTCCCATTCTCGCATCTCTCCATTTTTTTCCATTCGCCATGCATGCATGCATCCTCGCTCATTGCGCTCGCTCATAACAAGATGAAAAGCAATGCAATGCAATGCATGCATCAACATCCATCCATCTATCAATCAACAACTAGAAATCCACAATGAACAACGAACAACAAATCTACAGCTTTGCCATTGGTTTCTCATCCGCCAATGCTTCAGCGTACATTTTGTCAATGTGATCTCGGAATTTCTTTGCCGTTTGGGGCCGCTTGAGCTTGAGTCTGTTTAGGGTTGTTTAGCATTTCTTTTGTGTGCATGATACCTTGATCTCTCGTCCGCCTTCCCCTGAGGAGGTATGAGAGCAAGATAGAATGGGGGAAAAACTTACGTCGGCGTCAAAAGTTCATTATCAATTGTAAACGGTTCGATATCCAAATACACATTCTTAACCTTCTCATAGCTGTTAAACTTGGATTTTTTGCCCACGCCCTCCAACAACTTGACAAGTTGCATGCGCACCCTCTTCTCATTACCCGCTTCCTTCAGGCCCGCAACATCCTCACTTTTGATCTCTCTACCGAGGATCTTGCTCACCCACGGCGCAAACGTTACGGGATCAACGCCGAAGATGGCGACGAGGAAAGCTTGGGTTGAGTCTCCGTGCACATATGCTTGGGCGATGAGATTGCAGTTTGCGAGGTAGACGTTTTCGATGCGTTCGGGAGAGATGTACTCGCCCTGAGCGAGTTTGAGGACGTTCTTTCGACGATCGATGATTTTGAAGCGGCCCATGCTGTCGACTTCTCCGATGTCACCGGTGTGGAACCAGCCGTCTGCGTCAATGGCTTTGGAGGTTTCGGCTTCGTTGCGGTAGTATTCGCGGAAACGGGCGGTACCTCGGAGGAGGATTTCACCGCGGGGGTTGGGTGTATCGGTGGCGAGGTACTCCATGTCGGGGACGGATTCGAGACATACTTCCACTTTAAGAGGGGGAAAGGGTTAATTGAGTTTGAGTTAGGAATTGGGAGGAAACTTACTAGATGGACTTACACCTCCACAATTACCGGTGGAGTAATCATCATCGTATTGAACGAGACCATGTGCATAGGTTTCGGTAAGACCATAACCTTGAATGAATTTGGCACCAAAGGCAGCACGGAGGAATTGATGAAGACCAGGATCAATTGGAGCACTTCCAGTTACCATACCACGAGCTCTTTGAAGGCCAAAAGCACTAGCTAATTTAGGAGTCCAGATACGATCATAGAGAGCGTGTTTATTGGTAGCTTGTCCAGGTGGAAGTTTCATCGATGCGAGCTTGGTGTTGATGATGTGACGACCGATTGTGCCCTTGACACCTGGGGCATCGATAGTAGCGGCTTTGATAGCGGATCCAAATCGATTGTAGAGACGAGGAACGGAGTTGAAGGCTGTTGGGCGAAGAAGCTTCAAGTCGTCGACAAGTCCAAGAATGTCACCACGGAAATAACCAATAGCTGATCCTACAGCAAGACAACCATGCTCGGCAAGACGTTGGTAAATATGTGCCAATGGAAGGTATGAACAAAGGACGTCATTAGGCCACGGATCAGACACAATTCTCGAAATGGAAGTTGCTGCAACAGCGTGTGCCTGGGTAAGAACCACACCCTTGGGGTTACCAGTCGTTCCGGAGGTATAGTTGATAGTAATGATATCTTCAGGTCGAGGTGGATTCATTGGAGAGTTTGGAGACGCAGCTCCAATAGCTTCAACATCTCCGATATAATGAATAGAGATTCCAACTTCAGCCGCAAGAGCATTCAAAATTGCTTTCTTTGTGTTTCCAGGCTGTTCCCCTTCATCTAAACGATCAAGACAAACAATGAGCTTCAGCGTAGGTATTCTCGGCGCCAACTTCAATAACGTTGGGATATGCGGTAAACTCGTACAAACACAAGCAAGTGTAGCATGGTTGACGATATATTCCGTAGTGTCCGGTCCGAGAGTATCGTAAATGGAAACTGTGAAGAGGGATTGAGACATCGCTCCCAAATCTACAACTCATGTCAGCCCCCGCCCTGCATTGCACAATGCACGTACCAATCGCTTTAAGATCTCTTACCAACAATTTGCCATTCTGGACGATTTTGACACCACAGACCCACACCATACTTATCATCTGTGATTCCCGCCCTCTTGTGAAGCTCCACCAATCCCACACCAAAATTCTTTCTGCGCTCTGCCGTCTCCGCATATGTGATCCATTGATAGTTACCGTAAGTTTTTGTAACGGGATCCCAAGGTCTATGACCCAAACATCTAGCATTGGGTCTCTTTCTTGCGGCCTTCTCGAAGAAATCATGACTGGTCAAACATTCTGGATCGATCGTTTGGAGTAATGGCTTATCCACGAATTGATAATGCCTGTAAACACCACTGCGATCTTCGCGCGCACTGCCCGGGATCGCAAGGGAGTAGGGTGAGCCGGGAGGAGGTGATGCTCGGATAGTCTTCACATAGGTATCAGGGTCCTGTACCGTCGGTGCCATGGTGTCTGACTAGATCTCTAAAAGGTAAATATCAGTCAGTACTTCTCTTATGTTGAACAAAGGTTCGGAGGCTGGGAAATGAGTGCTGCGATGAAGGATCACAAACCTTGGAATGTATAGAAGGAAAGACAAAAGATTTATTCTGCACAACTTGGAGAATATGAATCGCACTGAAGATCTATAGAATAAACAAAGCCAAATTAGATCCAACAGCGAGTGAAGTGTGTAGATAGATTCATGTATCAAGATTCATTCAAAGGGTGCATGTGAAGAAATGAAGAGTGGCCTCGCCCGAAGCCTCGATGGTCGCGTTTCGTTTTACCTCGGTATCTGAGCGTTGGGTCATATTATCATTCCAGAATGTGGAGAAGCTTTGTAAATCGCAATCACAATTTGTGAAGGATTGGAAATGACCGACAAATCCGTTCTGATAGGGGGAGAATATTGGATTTGGTAGAGAGTGGATTTGAATCAACAATCATAAAATTCTCCATGAAGAAAAGTGGTCAGCGAGGTATAGATGCAATATAGTGTTCAGTAGACGCTTATTTATAAGTACCACTGTCGGATTTCTTCTTAATTGGTTTGAATGGATAGTTATTTGTATCATTACTTTGTAGCAAATGGTATTTTATCAGTCTTCTGTAGATTGAACATTGAGAAATTCCACCATGTTCACATCTTAGATTACCTAGGTAGCCAGAGAAAGTTTTTAGAATACTTTAAAAAGGGGGGGAATCATTTAAACAACCAATTTAGCATCACCACTAATATTACCAGTCTTCTGGGCATTGGAGTCGTTACCACGACTTGTTTTCGCTGCAGAAGCTGCTTCGAATGATTGTTCGAAATCCTTGATGATATCATCAATGTGTTCTGTGCCAACCGAGATTCTGATAAGATCCTATAATACAAGATTCAGTCAAATTCTCAACATTAGACGTTCAATGAAGTCTTACCTCAGTGACACCAGAGGCCAGTCTTTCGTCGTGAGAAAGTTGTTCGTGAGTTGTAGACCATGGATGAATAGCTAGAGTTTTTAGATCTCCAACATTGGCTAGATTAGAAATCAATTTGAAGCCATCAACAACCTGGCTACCAGCATCTCCTCCGCCTTTAACCCCAAAACTCAAGACACCGCCAAATCCACGAGGCAAGTATTTCTTGGCCAACTCATGGGATGGGTGATTCTCTAATCCTGGGTATGATACCCAGGAAACGTGGGGATTCTTCTCAAGCCACTTTGCCAACGCCAATGAGTTCTGAGCATGTCGCTCTCCTCTCAAGCTCAAAGTTTCAAGACCTTGAATCAGCTGGAATGCTCCAAATGGATTCAATGAACTTCCCAAATCTCGGAGAATCTCAACTCTAACACGAGTAATAAAAGTATCGGGGCCAAATGTTTCCCAGAACTTTAGTCCATGATATCCATCAGATGGTTCAACCATTTCTGGGAATCGCTTGCCGTGTTTTCCCCAGTCAAAGTTTCCTGCATCAATGACTACGCCACCAATGGTCGTTCCGTGTCCTATTCAGAAGCAAGTTAGAAGGGATCAAATTATCTGACAGCGAAACACATAATTACCGCCAATCCATTTGGTCGCCGAATGTACGACAATGTCGGCTCCATGATCGATAGGGCGGCAGAAATATCCTCCTGCTCCAAATGTGTTATCAACGACGAGAGGAACTCCGGCATCTAAGTATGAAGTTAGTATTTCTCATGAACAAGAGTAAAAGCTTCAAGTAGTGAAGCCAAACCAAAACTAAGATTTAGTACAATCACTAACCGTGTGCAACTTTGGCAATAGCCTCAAAGTCTGGGACGTTATATTTTGGATTTCCAATACTCTCAATGTACACAGCTTTTGTATTTTCGTCTATAGCCTTGGCAAAATCCTCTGCCTTGTCTCCTTGAATGAATTTGGTCTTTATGCCTAATCTTGGAAGAAAAATCTTCAATTGATTGTATGTTCCTCCATAAAGATTCGTCGTGGATACGATGTTGTCTCCGGCATGGGCCAATGCGGCAAAGGCCACTTTAGTGGAGTATTAGCACGCATTCGCTTATGGCATGATATCAAAGGGGTGATGTGGTGAAGGAGGGAGTGAAGGTAGAAAGAATCAACTAAGATGACATACTAAATTGAGCTGCTTGACCAGAGGCAGATGCTACCGCTCCTCGTCCACCCTCAAGAGCTGCAATGCGCTTTTCGAAAACCTCAACAGTTGGCTGTCGCCAAGTTAGCTAAGATCTTGGTGTTATACTTGGCAATGAAGTTTAGGAAATGCCAATTCTGGAGAATTGGGATGCCAACTTTCATCACAGACGTTGCCAATTTTCAAGAAATCAGATGCCAAATGTCCACGACTTCTTTCGACTTTCGGATAGAATAAAGCTTGAGTGATACATACGTTCGCAATACGACTGTAAATATTTCCAACCTCCTTGAGGCCAAACAACCTAGCCCCGTGAGCAGAGTCATTGAATGTGAAGCTCTATAGATATCATATTTAGTTCTTAAGATTGTCAACTTCTCTGATACGAGCAGACTCACTGTAGTGGCATAGATTGGCACAGCTCTTGCATTTGTTGCTATATCCGGTTCATGTCTACCGTCGACAGAATCTAATCAGCCTTGTCATGAAAGTGCGGGGAGGAAGTGGCATAGCACGAACCCAGCATGAAGCTGTAGAGTCTCGAAATGAGTGCTTCCAACAGGTGCCATATTGATTGATCGATTGTTCCTCGATTCTGGAGTTGAACAGAGATTTGAGAGATTCAGACAATCACAGAAATGAAAGAATATGGACCGTGGGAGTCCTTTAGAATTAGATTAAATAGATCAGGATCTTTGTTTCCCCTCATTGCTTTTGGTAAGACAAATAACTCTTTCCAATTGAATTGATGACCATAGTGGGGTGATACATTCATTCTTACATTCATTGGCTTGAGCACGTCATTTCTTTCGTTCTTAGGTTATAATGAGTGATGAGAACGGAAAGACTCATTGAAGATTAGACAATATTGGATTGAAAGAAAACTGATGGTCTGAATAGCTTCATTTCATCATTTCGTTCCTAGCGACATCGATATCATCTTGATATTTAAGGTTGCTTACTCATCTAATGAAAGTGACCTGGTGGACCTGGTGGATCAGTTTTAAGTTGGACCCGACCCCTCATTTTCTGGCCACCCTTGTTTTGAGCTACCCTTCTATATCAAAAAGCGCCTTTTCAGCTTCTTAATATCTCTATCAAAATATAATATAATTAATTGAAAATTGATGTATATATAATTCAGACTATTTTAAACTTTTATTGAAATTTTTAGATTTTGAGGATTTTTCTAAATTGTTTTCTGAGGCTTTAAAATATCGATTTTCAAATGTATATAGGAATTATATATAAATTTAAAATTCTTTTTAAAATCTTTAATAACTTTTCAATTATAATTAATAAAAAGGAACCGATTGATTTTTTAAAAGTTTTTAATTTGAATTTGTATAAAGGTTTTTTGAAAAAAAGAAAAAAAAAAGAATAATCATAGAGATAAATATTAAATAAAGATTAATAATCTTTATAATTTCGAAAATATGTTTACAATTACTTAGTTATTAGAATTTTTTAAAATTTTCTCAATCTCTTAGATTGAATATATTATAGATTTACAGTAAAATAAAGAGTTTATTTTTAGTAATCTTTGATAAAAGATTTTTAAAGGTTTTAATAAAAATAAAATTTTATATATGATTTCTATATAAAATTAAAAATCGATATTTTAAAGTTTTAGATTTCTATTCAAAAGAATCCTAAAGATCTGAAAATTTCAAAAACAAGTTTGAAATAATCTGAATTATATATATACAGAGTTTTAATAAATTCTATTTTTTTATTTTTTTATAAAAATTAGTGATAAAAGGTAGCTCAAAATAAGAGTAATCAGAAAATAGAGTACCCGACTTACTACAACTATCAGCCCTGGGCTTTAACACTTCTTTCATCGCTCCCTACCGTTTCCAAACAATTTATTGGCTTCAACAACAAACCCATTTTGGTGTTACAATTACACTTCGTGTTGCATTACAGATCAGATCTCTTATCCAAACGACATTAGCCTACACATCACAGCTTTGTCTTTCCATGCACCATAGCGCCGTAATGTTCCTTCGTAACTCCAGATGATACACTAAAGACACCTTTCCCAACATCACTTCCACAACAGATATCTGACACGGCAATCCAATAACATTGCGAAGGAGTGGCCTACGATATCAATCCCGCGTCCAAGCATTCCAAATATTGTAGCTTAAGAACGTCTCATGTCTCGCCGCCTTCAAACGCAAAGCTCGACGACACGAATCAATAAAGGAACCTCAATCTTGTGCTTCTTTCTTGGCAACACAACACTGACACTCTTGGAACTTCTTACGAGGTGGCACTAGAACTTACTTGTAGGTTGAGATGAGTATATCCCTTTTTAAGCTTTGCGGTTGAGTTAGTAAATTTGTGTTGTAGTTGGTGTTTCATGCTTTGAGATAAATAGAAACTTGTGAGATGTCCGAGCGGATAATTCTCAACTTCTAGACAAAGCGTACTTTATGTTCCAATTGGTTACTGGTATTATTATTCAAGGTCGTGAAATGCCCGCTTTACCAAAGTACTTTCAATCTGCAATGTAGAATCTTCTTAGAGGTGGATATTTCAGGGTCAGTGGCCTTTGAGGTAATACAGTTCAATGCACGCGTTTGCGGGAGAACATCATTTGATGACTGCGGTCAACACATGTTTTCGTTGGTTGTGATGCTGAATTCCAATAATAAATATCCTCAGTCAGGTTACTCAGCGGTTGAATTGTCCTACGCATCGCGGGGAACGCAAGCAGGCCTCTCCACTGTAGCCGGGACGTCGTCAACGATTATCATTGATCATATAGCCCTGCGTCTTCAATGTATTGCCGTAGATCCTTGTTTGGTAGGGTGTTGAGAACCGGCATGATCTGTGCGATGGATTGATATACCGTTTCAAACATGATACTGAGTTTATGCAACTTTTCCACTTTGGCTGCAATGGAAACCATTCGGCCTTCAGACTTTGTCTACTTAATTCTATAGTAATTATAATATCAGTCTGTGACTCTTTTGTATTTCATCTCCTTTCAACTTTTCTCCACCTGTCTCCTTTTTCAATCTGTATACATACTCTTCGAATTCACTCATTTACGCGCGCCCAAGTTGCAGCTGCGTTTTCTCACGACTATTAAGACTATCCAATTCACGACAACTAGATTTCCCAAATAACAATACTTTAATTTCAAAATGGCGATTGGACTACTTCTTCCTATTCGAATTGCTCAAGCAGTTTTTGCTATCGTCGTCCTTGGCTTATCCGGATATGGTATGAGAAATATTGATGATCAGCATACCAAGGGATAATTGCTAACATACCACATAGTTTCCCACTGGTACAATGCCGATACCTTGACCGCATCTCCTTCGCAAGTCAACTTTTTGGTTTTCGTACCCGTCTTTACTTTGATTTCCATTGTCTATCTTGAAGTTGCACCCCGCTTCATGTCAAAAGGTACCTTTATCACTGTCAAAAATACACACATAGTTTTCTAACATTCATCAGCATCTCACCCATACGCACATCTCACATTTGAGCTCCTCAACGTTCTCTTCTACTTCGCAGGCTTTATCGCCCTCTCCGTCTTCATCAGCAAGCTTCTGTTCTGTCGTGGTTCTGTCTGTGGAGCAGCTCGTGCTGATGCAGTCTTTGGTGCTTTCAGTTGGCTACTTTGGATGGGAAGTAGTGCTATTCTTGCATTGGAAATGTTTAAGGGTGGACGAGGAAAAGCTTACCCTCAACCAAACATGGCTATGAAGGAGACTGGTAACCCAGTTTAAGTTGCTGGGTTGAGCGGAGATAATGGGGAAGCAACCGGGAAGCATAATCGTACTATATGGACGCTGGTGGTTGACGAGAAGTCTTGATGACCATGTCTCTTTTAAAAAGACGTATTGTGGTTATAGAAACAGGGGTTGATGACAAGGAAAAGATTGATGACTCGAATGTTCATGGAGTTGGGGCTGGGGGTCAAAACATACATAGCAGCAAGACTGACTGATGTCTCTTATAGAAATAAATAATATTGAAATCTTTGATACTTATTTCGCGTGTTCAATTTGGATTGTCTCAATTGAATGTCGTCGCTCATGTTTCCGTTTCCTGGTATACTTTCCTTGTGCTAGAACTGAATCATCTTTCTCAGTGATTCTAAACAGTGAACCAGTGTCTGAGAATCCAACAGTAAAGTGACCCTTTTCCAACCAGCATCTCAAACCCCCAAATTTTTATCAAAATTTCCCTCTGGATCAAGTATGTAATGAGATAGTAAGTATGTAAGTATCTCTCATAAAATCTAATGATATGTGAATTCCTCATGCTTTTTCGCTCTCTGGAAATACCTAGGTAGTCTTGTGAGTTTATGCATTTACTATTGGATTGGAATGGAATGGATTAACCCATATACTAAATAACCATACTACAGCATATTGAATCCACAGCTCCTTAATCCGTACTTGTAATGTCCATTGTCTATTATCTTACAGACCGCAGAAAATACCGCTGTAGTTTCTCTCCTCTTTACTTTACTTCGGTTTACTCTAGTTTTGCTTAATGGTTGTGTATATTACTTCTTTCTCTTTCTTTTACTATTTCTCCTATGGCCTACCTCCAATATCTAATATCCAGCATCCAGTATCCAGCCAGTGAATACTCAAACCAACAGTACAGAACCCCTTTAACTCTTAACTCTCACCCCTCAGTTCTCGAAATCCACAATAAGTACATCCTCTTCTCCATCCTCTTTTCCATTCTCAAGCAAAATCAGAGTCATATTTTATTACCCAGTTGATCAATAGTTCCCCAATCTAATCTGTAATAAATCATTAAATTTGTAATAACCCGCTCAAACATGATACCAATCATCACACTAAATCCCAAAATAGACCCATCCCACCAAACCAGATCCAAATCCCAAAATTTACACATCTAGATCCTAAATTCCATATTCCAAATCTTGACCGACCAAATCCCAATATATGAAATCACTATCTAATCCCAAAATATTCAAATCTCAATACCCTGAGTCCAATATATCGATGCCAAAACGTTTAGATCTCGAGCCCAATATACCAAATCCCAGTATTAAGATCCTAATATCCAAATTCTAATATTCAAATCCAATCTCAAGTCGAGTACCCGACTTTCTGGCCACGCCTGTTTTGAGCCATCTTTTACCACTAAAATTAACAAAAAAACTTTTTCATTTATAGATAGAATTTATTGAAAATTTATATGTATATAATCTAGAGCATTTTAAGCTTATATTGAAGATTCTAGATTTTTAGAATCTTTTTAAGTGGAGATCTAAAGCTTCAAAAAATTGATTTTTTAATTTGTATAGAATTATATATACTTTTTTAAAAAAATCTTTAATAATTTATCAATCAAAATTATTAAAAAAAACTTTAAATTTTTATTATAAATTTTTATTATTTATAATATAAAAGAGTTAAAAAGAATAAAAAATAAGTAAATCAATAAGTATTTATAAAAGTATTTTCGAAATTATATCTATTATAGGTTATACGCTTAGTAGGAGGATGGAAAAAGTATAAATAAGTAACTTAGGCCTCTAAAGAAAGATCTTATTCTAGTACTC